TTTTTTTTTTTTTTTTTTTTTTTTTTTTAGTTCTCTTGTTTGTACATGTTGAACGATACCCTCTCTCGGGTTGAACACATTTCTGCTTTCGATTTTGATAACAATGTTATATTTGTTTTATATTCGGAACACATTTGTCGATATTGTTTTATCCACAGTTCGACACGAGGATCGATCGATCCGATGACACAATCGAGTCAACTGTTTTATATTTTTTAATCATATTTTAAAAACTTTATCCGTTTGATTCACGTCTACTACTTCCGTTCTTAGTTATATTTTATCGAATTTAGATATGCGAATCAGGAACGGACAAGAAGATTAGTTTAAGCAATTTTCATTATATAGAGAGAAAAAAAAAAAAAAAGAAGAAGAAAAAAAAAGCCGATACCTCGATCGATCGATCGCCAGATCGATCGTCCAACGGAAGTCGCAGGGGAATATCTTGGCTTGCGATCACCGGAAGAGAGCGGCGATATTTCGAATTGTCAACTTTTGCCGCCGAAGAAAGTGTGTTCGAAAACCAAGAAAAGGAAATAGTGTTGCGAAAACAAAAATGAAAAAAAATATGGGTGTTTCGAGATATTTTTTGTGAACTGCCTGCCGCCTGCCTGTGCAAAACTACGTTGCCTCGACAAATATGTCTAATTTATTGTCGATACGATAATTAGCTGGACTTTTAAGCTGCGTGCGTGCAAAGTGATAATCGAGAGAGAAAGAGAGAGAGAGAGAAAGAAAGAAAGAGAAAAGAGATATTGTGTGTGTATGCGTGTGTGTATACGTGTGTACGATGTGCGCGTGTGCGTGTGCGTTCAGTGTGAAAGAAGCGGGCAAACAAAAGGATTGTTGTGAGAATGGATGAAAGAAGGAAAAACCGGAACAAAGAATGCGAGCGCATTGCATCTGGCACCGGATGGTCTTCGAACCGAGTATTCGTTCTTTCCCAATTCTTTTTGTTTGTTTGCGCGACAAAAAAGGAAAAAAATGAATTCGAAAACGCGATCAAGATGGGTAAAATTTAACTGAATTTCTTCGTCGTCGAGATAAACCTAGTAGTAGATTATTCGAAGAAAAAAGAAAAGAAAAAAAAAAAAAAAAAGATACAGAGAAGACGAAATACGAAAATATTCCGAGGAAGTGGATTATTTTTTTAAGTTTGGAAAGGACAGCGTGTATCGAGACCACTTCCGGCCCGGTTTGCGAGCCTGTTCCACACACAATGTTCTTTTTCTCTTGTGTTTTTTTTTTTTTTCCTTTGAAGCCTGGACTATTGCAACGAGCGATCTCACGTCTATTTAAGCATAAGTTTACGAGTTTAACGTGGTATTGCTGTATAGTGGCGAGTGAACACGAAGAATTTATAAATATGTAATGCCTTAATGTTATATAAACGATAATAATGATATAGCGTTACTTGTATAATTAGTTGTGACGCGAGGCTGGATACAAAGAGGATCGTGGCAAGATAGATAGATCGAAGGGAGGTGGTAAACAGAAAGAGAGATATAGAGAGAGAGAGAGAGAGGGAGGGAGAAATGACGAACGAACGAACGTGAAGCGATATATATTGATGTGAAACAAGAGGACAAAAGTAGCAAACATAAAAGGGTGGTGCAGTAGGTGCGGCGGTTTGTCTCCATTCTGTTCGTGATTTGATATTTTTTTATAATTCCGACGACGAGAGAGAACGAGATTGGAGAGAAAGAGAGAGGGAGTGAGTATAAATGGAGCGTGTATAGAGAGCGGACTGCTATCTAAAATAGTTCAGGCTAGATGTCGATGTTTGTAGCAGATAAAGAACAAAAAAAAAAAAAAACACAACACAGCATATTGTAATTAAAATTAAAAGTCATTAATACCGCCCGCTTTTTTATTCGTCCGATCGATCGATCCAATCTTTTCTCCTTGTCCCTCTCTTTCTTTTTTTTTTTAAATAAAAAATCAGCCGATACATCTATTATTAGATTCGTGCACGCGAAAAGAATCTAAATATTGTTGTCAATTTTTTTTATTTTTTTCTACGAAAACTATCTTACCATTACCGAAAGGATATACGAAACATTTTGAAGAAAAAAACTAGATTATTCGAATCATTCGTCGAATCCTAGATTTTTCTTTCGCCAAACCGTAATTTTTCCAAAATCAATTCTTCTCCAACTAAAAAGAAACACACAAAAAAAAAAGAAATATTCCACAATTGGATAAATGGATAAAACGCACGATCGAGCGAATTTATTTCCAAATCTAAACGATCGTAATCATCGCCTTAAGTTTCAATCTATCGCGAGTGTATCCTTCGAAGGGACTTGCTGCTCGTCACAACCCCTGTAAAGCACCTCGCAGTCCTCGCCACGAATCCCAGCCTCGCCCGCGTCCCGAACCAAACGGAACCATCCGGAGGACGGCTTCAAGGATTTCTCCACGCCCCGTCTGAAAGCAGACGCATACGAGCTAAGCTTCTCCTTTCCTCGTGCGAAAACTGCACGTGCCTCTCCGTTCTCGCGTTCGAAGCACGCGTGGGGGAGCACGTTTAATATACCTATGGCGCGCAAATGGGATTTCGAGAAATAAGGACGCGAGTTATCTCGGTCCAGAGTTATCCGTGTCTTTCGCGTGACGCCGCTTGGAATATTAAATATCTGTGCCATTGTGTCTCGGCTGGAAACTGGCCGCGAAGCAATAACACCCGGAGGGGTGAGAGGGGAGCTTGGAACTCACGTTAAGTACTTGGCCAGTATCTTGCCGGTTGCGCCGAACGCCTTCAAGAGCCTTCGATTCTCCAGGCAAACGGTCCTCTGTATGCACCTCACCCTCCCATCCTCGTCGAGCACGTCTTCCTGTTCCGGTGTCTACGAGCCGGAGAAGGGAAAGAGAAGAACTGTAATTACCCTCAAAACTTTCAAGTCGTGGAATTCACTTCTTCGAGCTATATGAAGAAATATATATATATATAGAATAATTTCTTTAACGAGGTGGAAAAATATGAACGGAACGAATTTAAGCTTTTAGAGAACTTCATCCGTAGCGAATGAACGTACGATCGTTCTTATTAAAAAAGATAATTTACGTTCTAGGAAGTGGAACTTTCCAGCTTGACTTAAAAATTTAAGCATCTTAAGCAGAGAGAAAAAAAATATCGTAACAGTTGCGATAAATTTTAAGTTAACTCTAAAAAGAGGCAATACATGGGAGGAGGGACCTTACCACGGAATCAAAGTTGTACGAAGCGTAAAGCTCTCTCTTCTTCCTCGCCGACAGCACATCCGTCAGAAGCTCTCTTCGTTTCACGTTCACGATCGTGTTCTGAATAACAGCGAACAGCAGCAACAAACCTATGAAACTGACTATCATAAGCTGCTTGGAGGATGGGCCAACCGGATAATCGATCGAGTGCGCCACCGGATATCCGAAATGCGGATGATCGTACACGTAAGCCGGCACGTTATCGCTCCTCAGATGAATGTAGGGCCTTTGCGCCGCTGAAAACCGCGTTTACATTGTCTAACTTTTATCTACGCTTGGGCACAATCGCGCGTAACGTTACCGAGGAGAAAATTATTGACAGGTGCGGTGGTGGGATGCGCGATAAGCTCGGAGGAACGCGTCATATCCTGTTGAAGCGCAGTTTCCACTCTGGCCGATGATTCGAGAACGGAGCCATTTCCGGGGAGCGGAAACACCGTAGTTTTTGCATCCTGAGCGAGGATTGAAACTGCAAACGCGCTTAACAACAATGGAAAAACTCTGCTCTTTGCGAGAAAGGTGAACATTTCTCTTCTCACTTGGACCAAGATTCCTTTTTTTTTTTCTTCCTTTTTGTATAAATTGTTTTTTTTAAAAACTCTCGTTCTCTCGATCGTGGCTTATTATCTTAGTTTTTGTTACGAACCACGATGCTCGACTGGCGGTATATCGATGGTGGTCGGTCGTTTTAAGAAGGTCGAAGAAAAGAACGGATCCGTGACGTTCTTCGGCGATTGAGGCGGTGGATACGGCGAAAAAAAGTGGCGGCAATTTCGAAGATTGCGGTCATCATTCGGCTCGCTGAATATATCGCGCGAGTTCACGTTGTGAAAACGGCATGCCTCATTCCCGAAGCGACGATTTCTATCGTAATCGGCCCGTCGAATAGGGAGGGAATCTTTTATCCTGGCCATGTGATTTTATGCTCGGGTTAAGTGCGTCTTAACTAAACAAGACGATCCTATCCGACAATTTTTCTCCCCCGCAAACTGATAAAAAGAAGTAGAAATAATAAGCAACAAAGTATTATTATGCAGTGGTAAAATGAAATTTAAATTTTTTGAAATCGAAATTTAAATATCAAGTTGAAAATTGGAAATTCTGCCCAAAAAAAAAAATTGGCAGGAACGAATAGTTAAGTTATTTATTTGCACGAATTTGCAGTCGCTGTAGAGATAGAATCTAAAGCTTCGGCGCTTCGCTTCGCTTCGAAAGAAAACGGAAGTGGTTTTTCGCGACAACAACGATTCACAGAATCGATGCGATTGCCTCCGATACGAGGCAACACAACGGTAAACTTTCTTCGCGATTGATCCGAGCGATTCCTTCGAAACGGAAACTTTGCAATTACAACGTGGTGGTACGCAACGATCCGTAACATCCAACCCAATCGCAAAAATGAAAGGTAAATTGAAATCGCCGATGCAAAGGCACTCCACCCCCTCCCCGTACGCGCGGGATTGTATCACACAACGGGGAGACAAAGGATTGCCTGATTTTGAGTGCGTAAAAAGAGAGAGAGAAAGAGAGAGAAAAAAGAAAAAAAAGAAACGGCGTGTTTGATGTAAATGTTCGAACAACGAACAGGACTGAGAGAGGGTGGGCAAATCGGTTGGTTAGGCTGGTTGCTGGATCCAAGGGGTTGCTATGGCGATGGGACGGTCGTCGGTGAGGGGGAGGGGACAGAGGGCTGTTGCCTGGAGGGTTCGTCTGTCTGGAGCCCTTCTAAAGGGGATGATGTTCTTCGCTATGTCTGGACTCTGCTGACTGGTAGTTTTACAACGAGTCAGCTGTTTCATAAAGACTTCCTTCGTGGATTTGCTTAAAGATCCACTTATTCTCCCTTTAATATCATCCGCTTGTAATATAATTCTAAGTTTTTGGTCCTCCCCTTTTTTAAATATACTTTTGAACGTTGAATCTTTCTTTCTTTCTTTTTTTTTTTTTTTTAACGAGAGAAGAGAATTTATCTTACCAATGGAAGACAATTTTAAGAGATATTATTTCTTGAGATAGATTATTATTTCCTCGATGAACGATCAGTTATCCTATCTTTAAATCCTATTACATCATAAAAATTCTATCAGCTTTTCCCTGATGTTCTCTCGTTATTAGTTACTTTTTTTATTATAAATCAAGAACGAGAGAGAGAAAGTTTCTTATTACGTCGTGGATAGATAATTTTAGCCTTTCTCAATTTAGAAATACTTGTCGAACGAAAAAAAAGTTTACGTTAAAACAGCTATGTTAAAATTCGTAGATTAGGGAACGTTCAGGGCTCTTCTAAAAAAGTATCACGTTCCCAGAGATCTGACAAGAGGGAAGTTTTCGCGACAAATAACGGGGCCGATCTTTGCCCCATATTCCAGTTTCCACGGAGAAAATTTCCACTCACCCACTTCCAACTTCCCTCCTCAACTATTTATTAATTGTTCCTTCTCCTCCTCCTCCTCCTCCTCCTCCTCTTTCGACGGCACGCATTATCCTCTCCTTCTAAACTCCAAGTCTCAGGTAGCTGGCCACCGATGTATATCTCTTTTCCATGTATATAACCGCCAATAATTCTCGAGCTGCACTTTCAACCCCATGTGACACGTTTTCCTTAGGTAGCGGAGCGTACGATATCCTTGGGACCGGGCTTCTTTGAAAGCACGGGAAAATAGAACGTCTATGTACTTATGGTTTATAAATAACCACTATGCGTTGCATTTTTTTTTTTTTTTTTTAATAGAACGAGCCAAGATGAAACGCATTTCGAAAAAATGTTACAGAACCGTGTGGCGAAGCACAACCCCTTCCAACGAAACAGTAAGCAACGATAACTATCCTACGAAATAGAAAAAATTCATTTTTTAAAACTAATTCCGTGTTTTTTTTATAATATTTCAAGTATAGACTTCATTTTATGAACTTTCTTTATAAAATTTCTTTTTATAAAAAAAAAAATATCTCGCTGTTTTACAAAGAAGCAAGTATTTTTTAAGAGGGAAATAATCTTCATCTTTCAAAAAATACGTTTTCAACTTTGCAAAACGCGCGATTTGGACGACATTTCCTTATAAGATCCTTGAGAAACGAAGGTAAAAGATGGATTTTGTTAATTACGTGTCCTTTAATTCTTGCCTTTTCGAATCTTCAAATTTTTATATAAAAAAAAAAAAAAAAAAGTAAGAGTCACCTCTCGAAGGTTGAAACGCACATCTCGTCTTCGAATGTACAGAAGAAGCAGACGTTCTGGCGACAACGTGGAACATCGAGATGATGCTCTCCGCCGGGCGTTGCCAGTTTATCGCTCGCGATAAAAGCGGGGGTTGTTTCTCTCTCTCTCTCTCTCTCTCTCTCTCTCTCTCTCTCTCTCTCCCTCTCTCCCTCTCTCCAGAGACCGGTATCGGGGTCACATCGATAGACACGCCGCGTGAACGAGCCGCGGTTTTCACGCCAACGCGGCGCGAGCAGGCATTATATTTTTAGTACGCTTTTACAACGGCCGCCCCAAGCTCGGACGTATTGCTCGAGCCGACTTTTTATCACGGTCCAATCGAAATCGCCCCGACCTGCAATCAGAGCTTCGTTAGCGGCCCTTTTATGCGAAACGGCCGGCTACAGGCGGCTAGACGCCGCTCTCCATCCCTCCTCCCCCCTTCCCTCTCTTTTTCTTCGATCCGTGTTAGACAATTTTCTCTCTCTTTCTCTCTCTATCTTTTTTATCAATATTTCTCTGTGCACTTTCTTCTCACTTTTGTTTGGGATTAATTATAGGCCATTTCGTGACCCATTTTCGAGTTATTTATGCAAGAAAAGCTTCTTATCGAGTTCTTCGTTTATAGAAGAAAGCGGCCGAGATTAGAGCGGCGTATATATATATATATATATATATATATGATTAATATTATATTGTAAGCCGAAAATAAATTCAATGGCTTTCAATAATTTTAAAAAAAGTTATTACGATTGAATTTGGATTCGAATATTTATAGTAATTATCGTCGTCTATAATTATTTTTCTCGTGGATGGATGGTTGACATTTTTTTTTTTTTCCTCTTTTTTCTACAAACACGATAATTATAAAGATATGTACAAGAGAAAGCGACTGATCGAAAATATCGCAATTACGATTAGCCCGATTCGTTTCCGCTATAACAAACAGAAATTGATTTTCTCCAAGGAACAATCGGTGGAACAATAGAAACGGCCATAAAGCCGGGCTTTAAAATTCATTTTTCTTTTCGCGATCCACGGCCAAAAGCAATTTTACGCTCGGCAAATATCGCCGAGGCAAGCCCCAACGCTTTGCCCCTTTTTTCCTTTTACTTTTTTGTTCAATCGTCGTGGAAGGTTTTGGCGCGACCCACCCCCTCCCAGATTTTAAGGCCGCAACCGAATTAATGGATAATTCGTGTTTGTTCTTTGTTTTCACCCTGATCCCCTCTTGCTTATTGCAAAAGAAATACCGATATTTTCTTTTCCTTCTTTTTCTTCTTCTTTTCTCTCTCCGTTTAACGAAACGGTCGATTTGTACACCGCTTAATTAATTGGAGAGTTCTTCGTATCGTGTCTGACCAACGACGGGCCTTACTACTTGCTGGCACGCAACCAGCCCAGAATTCCGTTTCCTCCAGTGAGTGATTACCGACGAACTAATACTTTGTTGACGAATCGGAGAAGAGGAGGAGCTGGCGTGCACCTCCTGGCCACCATGATTCTTTTCCTCGTCAGTGTGACGTAACTTGGGGAAAATTCAATTAGGTGGAGCGCGTGCGTTTGAATAATTCAAACGGATGATTCGAGGTGCAGGGAAGGGAATGAAAGTTGGATTAATGCGGATGGTTACATGGCGCAATTTACATAATATTAGGTTCATTATCGTGGAATCGTGGAAAAGATGGGGTTAAAGCTATTACACAAAACGCATTTTATAAACGCGTTACAATTGCAATTTCAGGTCAAATTGTGATTCCCTTTGAAAAATATAATATTCAACATTGATCTTTTTCTTTCTATCTCGGAATAAAAATCGATATTGCTTTTTTTTCCACGAATAATATAACCTAAAAGCTTTTCGATACATTTTTTATAGAGAGATGATACGTTAAACGCCGATAAGATTTATCGTTTATCGTTAAAAAGGGGAAAAAAAAGAAATTATTCGCTCCTTCGAAGATAGATATATTAAATATATCGATCTATTTTCTCCACTGTAAAGATCAGAGTGAAATCAGTTTGGCTTCCTTATAATTGCTTATTTTGAAATTTAAGTGCAGACAAAGCGGACACGTGTTTCCGCGAGATTCTTAAAACCGTTCGAACTTTCGGACAAAAATCCGATCGCCACGTGCCGACAAGACAAGAGGTGCGCTTTTTTTTTTTTTTTTTCTCACGTCGAGAACGACAAACATATCGACTTGTCGGTATTAATAGAATACATGTATCCAGAAATCCGACGCGGAAGCCTCAGAGGATGCATTCGGGTCAGGCAGCCAGGGAAATCCTTTAAAGCCGAGAGATCTCGCTGATTCCATTTCCACG